CAGGCACACTCAGTAGGGTTAAACAAGCGCACCCTTTCCGAGGCTGTCGTTCTATTGGCTGGAAAGGTTGCTAGGCGACGATCCAACTGCAATCTGAGAGAGCAAAACAATCCGCAAGCAGAGCCTACGGGTTTGCGAGCGTATCTGAGACTCGAGCAGAGCGCGGTTTGTGCGCGAAGAGAAGGAGGCAAGTGAGAGGAGAAAATTGTGGCAGGATAATTCTCGCATATAAATCTCTCAATCACTATATAGAGCAACTCAGTTAACTGAACGTTCAGACAAATGATCACTGCTTTTAGCTCGGTTGGTTACGTAACTCCTCTACCATGCAGTGCCTGTACCATCTTTGTATAAGTCGCCCGGGTTGGGTAGTGACAGCAGGCCACCGTGGCAACAAATCCCATAATGCTTTGAGAGGACAGCTCTCTGCGCAAAGCATTCTGGGATATATCTGCATCTTCTGAGGCCTTTCTTTTTGTCTCATACACTTTGTAGACACTTTTTCTCTTACGACCCGCTGCCATTTTCAAAGAAAAGTGAGTTTGAATGACTGTCTGAAACTGTAGCTCACCACAGATGTACGCCTGAAAGTGAGCAAATAGAAAACGGACACGCACATAGAACGGCCTTACGGAAACATATCACCAAAATGATTGACAATTAGGAGGACCACTTGTTAACATAATTTACCCCAGAATTTTTTTTTTCCTACACAGCCTGGCCACAGGCATCCTTTCGAGATAGGTTCCTTTCCAGTTTCTGTTCCATGTTGGGAATCTGGATTCCTTTTGGGGTATATCAACAACGAAGAGGAGTTTGATGTCTGTATAAAGTTTTTCATTACTTGTAAGGAGCTGTTTCCTCTTTCTTCTGTCTGTTATATCTGGTTCTTCTGTAGGTTTTTCCTGTTAATATGGAGTTTTCCCTCTCCACTGTCGCTACAAGCATGCTTGGTGTGAGGGATTGCTGAAAAGTCAATGAGTCGATGCAATCAGCTGGTTTTCCTTAGATAGAAAACTATCTGACTGGATGATCTGGTTGAATCGTCTCTGTGAAGTGCCTCGGGATGACATGTTTCATGAATTTGCGCTATACAACCAAACTGAATTGAATTTAATGGAGAGTTCTTGCAGCTCTATCTCTGTGTGAGTTTGGCCCGGTTATTTGGCAGAATAATATGTGGACTTACTGAGGCAAGTGTTATGAGTGAAGTCCCTATGGAAGGCCTCACAGTCTGGCTCCTGATGACCTGTGCCCCTGCAGGTGCACCACAGGCTGATGGTGATGTTGGTTGGGCTGTTGTCACTGTAGTTTGGTGTTACGTCTGAGCCTGTTACCAAACAGGGGCAGAAAGAATGGAAAATAAGAATTAGGACTGTCCAGGAAGAAGCTAAATACATTTTTACTATATTTGGAATAAAATTATGGGATGGTAATCAAATAGGAAATGAATAAACTACAATGCATCTCCTTAACTCCTCCATTGAAGATCTGAGTATTCAAATGTGTCAAAAGTATTAATATTAATTACTCAACCAAAAGTAAAAACCTTACAGTTGAAAAACACTTTGCAGGACTTAGAGTATCAAGCTTCTTACTTAAGCGTAAAAGTACCATTTTTTAAACTACTGGAAATTTGAAAATAAAAGTAATGCAGGAATAAATGTTAAGGACATAAGCTTTACTGCACTACCCAATTAAAGGACCATTCCTCTACAATTCTGGGTGTTAACTTCCTTCTTTTTAAGGTTCTAATTTTAACTAATGGCAATTGTGATAAATTTAACTTTGCATCATCTTGAAAAAC